ATTCTAGGTTCTTTAGTTTTGACTTGGTAGCCAACTGGAGGCTTTTCCTCACTTAGGAATGGCAAACACAAACACACTGCTAAACAGAATTATGTGGCAAATGGCAGGTCCTCAAATGTGTATTCCACAAACAGATCTGTGATTAGACATACATAATGCAAGACTGAGGCCAACACTATGCTGAGAGACATGACAGGACTGGGGTAGCAGCTCAGCAACAATAGGTCTGCAAACATTGTGACAGCCAATGTGTTTGCAGGGAAGCTGGTCTCACTCATCAGACTGACACTACAAATTTGGGGGCTGATACAGCACAATCAAGAGAATGTTCGAGTATTTTATTTGGCAAGCATATGGCCCATGCTGTTCAGTTTTTGGATTAACTGTAAAATGTACAGCTGAACTCATTCTTCCCATGCACTATTTCCCTCTGGTGTATAGGAAGAAGATTCAAGTTCCCTTCTACTCCTTAGTTTATAAACTTTTTCACATCCTTAGGAAATGCTAAATTTTTAAAGCTGGGTGAGTATGGAGGTGGTAGTAGATCTGGGAGGGGTTGGGAGAGGGAGGATGAATATGATCAAAAGACATTGTATCAATTTTTTTAAAGAATAGAAATAACATCTTAAGGCCAGGTGGTGGTGGCACATGCCTTTAATCCCAGCACTCGGGAGGTGGAGGCAAGCAGATCTCAGTGAGTTCGATACCAGTCGGGTCTACAAGAGCTAGTTCCAGGACAGCCTCCAAAGCCACAGAGAAACTCTGCCTCAAAACCCCCCACCAAAAAATACCATCTTAAATTGCCTCCACACCATATAGGAAAATGAGGGTAAATATTTAACATTGTAAATTTCTGGATCTCCATTTCAATGTCTGGTACAAGGGTACTGTGTAAATAATAAATTACTCAAGCTTAATATGGCGTTATCATTGGAAAGTGAGATCAAACTTAATGCTTTATTGCACTTTGTATTATTATAGTGCTACAACAAACAATGAATAGGCTTAACATTCAATTACACTAACTTTGGTATGGACATCTACATCAGAAAGAGATAAAGAATACACTTATAAGTATGTAGACAAATAAATTAAAGATAAGACTAATTAAACATAATAAACATTAAATTATAATCATTAAGAACATTTAATCAAGATAGTATTATAGGCTTGGAATATTACTTAGTAGTAGAGCCTTGCCTGTTATGAGCAATCTCCAGTACCCTCCCCACAAAAGAAAGACAAGCAAAGAATTGTACTTGTGACTAATGTTAACCCTAAACCTGACCTCACATGTAAAATCTGGGAAAATCGCTTTTCAAGAACCATGCTTCTGGATAGGACATAGACAGGAATGTGGATCGTCTGGTAAACACGCCATATGTTCTTTTATCAACAGGGAAGGGTACAGGAAAGGTGGAGTGAATTTTAAATATGTCACACATCTTTCTATAACAGGGTGGGGATAGAGGGATCTGACATGGGCATTTATCACCAACTAGCCCCTGTGCTGAAGTCCTCAATGCCCTGGATATCAACCTAGGTACTTCTTTATTATTTTTTTTATCGTTTTTTTATTTGAATTAGAAACAAGATTGATTTACATGACAATCCCAGTTCCCTTCTCCCTCCCTTCCTCCCCTACCACCCCCTCAACTAAAACCCTACCTATCAAAATACCCTTTCTTCTATTCTTTATCAGTGTTTAAGCTTTACAAATTATGAATAATGCCTCCATCAACCTTTGAGATATATGTTCCTTATTTAATATACCAGAAGTCTACTTGACAATACTACTATTTCTAACCAAGTAAAGACTGAATTTTACTTTGCTGAGGGTTCATGAGTTACAAAAGAGAGATAATTGATGATAAAGGTTTCATAGAGTGAAGAGGATAAGGATGCCACCATCAGATATTCTACAATGAAGTATTACAGGTAGAAACAGAATAGTATTTAAAATCTCTGAGCTACCAGCTCACTGATGGAGACACAGAACTAGAAATTTATTACTGAAAGTCATGAGCCCACTTACTAATGCTTAAACTTCCATGTGAGATAGTTATGTCACTTGAGACCTTGATGGCATAATGATACTGTGTTTTGTCTTTGAAACAACCAACTATAAAAAGAAAATACATTAACTGCATGAATATAAGACAAAAGTTTGGAAAATACATTTAATTTGTATACTATTACTTGAAAAGAAAGAAACAACATGTGCCAAACATAGTAACCAAACATTAGTTTTCAAGTGGCAACAGTAACCTTCAGTGACCTACTTAACAGAGGAAACAGCTTGAAGCCCAGAGACACCAAGCCATTTGCAAAGATCCTGTTGAGGACTGAAAGTAGTTCAGGTTTTCACAGGCAGCATAGAAGACCATCATTTGTCTACTAAGAAAAAACTTGGCATGTCTGGTGGACTCTGCACAAACTCTCCTGGGTGTTTCCAAGTTGTCTTCCTTCCTTTTGACAATTGTGTGTATGTAGTCCCTTTGCTCAATAGCTTTTGCATTGTATTTTAATGCCATTACCAGTGTATGTTTGTCACCAAATCCTAAGTCCAGAGCTTTCTTACCCCTGAATTTGTGATCACACATTCCCTTCCTTTTCACTAAAATGTGTCAAAAGCAACTTCTCCCATCAACTACATTTCTATCTTCTGCAGAAAATTTCCCCAGGCTAAGGGTGGGGGGAGGGGAGATGTGATTTTGTTTGACTAGTCCAAAGGAAACAAGGCCTACCACCTAGAGGTGAAATACATTCACCCCTTAGCCTGTCCTCTGATCCATGCTCCTTGTTCAGCCATGCTACAGGGTCTATGTGGATATGTTTTAAGTATCTATGACATAGGTTATATTTAACTTCATTCTTACAATCAGTGCCTCATACAATGTTATGCAGAATGATCTAAATGTACATTCTTTTATGATTTTAAATAAAAAACCCCAATGAAATAAATCTGTCTGTCCACTGTTTGCTTCATGAACATGTCCTTATGATTGAGGAAGAGCTGCACATCAGTCCACTAGCGAAGCCAGGCTTCAGCACTAGGTCACACATTCAGGACACAGGACTTTCAACACTGTCCCCAGGATGACAGCAAGTCTCCTGCTTAAACCTTTAGCCTGCTGGCTGCTCCTGGTATCTCTCTGGAATTCTGTGCAAGCTCAGGACAGGTTTTCTAAAAGGTTATGGCATTTTGGACTAAAGCCACAGAGAGACCTAAAACTAAGTCACTGATTCCTTAAAATGTTGCTCATCTTAAATATAGGCATTTATTCAGTTTTAAAGATGAGATTTCACAAAAAGTGTCATAATAAAAATTACTCTTCTTACCTATTTTTAAAACATTGTTAGCTCTTTGTGACCTGTGTACAGATGGGGACACAGGACACTTTGTGGCCACATGCTTTTACTACATCTGCCAAGAAATGCCATGGCCAACAATCCCTGCATTCTTTTCTTTTCTTTTTATTTTAATTAGAAAGAAAATTATTTTACATGTCAATCACAGGTCCCTTTCCCTCTCTTCCTCCTCTGCACCCCCCCCCCCAACTAACCCACTAACACCCTACCTATTCCATACCCTTTCTGCTCCCAAGGGAGGGTGAAGTCTTCCATAGGGGGTCGTCAAAGTCTGTCTTATTCTTATATGGCCTAGGCCCACCCCCTTGTGTCTAGGCTCAGGGGGTATCCCTCCATGTGGGATGGGCTCCCAAAGTCCATTCCTACGCTAGGGATAAGTACTGATCTACTACAAGAGGTCCCACAGATTTCCAAGGTCTTCTCACTGACACTCACATTCAGGGGGTCTGGATCAGCCCCATGCTGCTATCCCAGCTATGAGTCTAGGGACCAAGAGCTCTCCCTTGTTCAAGTCAGCTGTTTCTGTGGGTTTCACCAGCCTGGTGTGGACCCCTTTACTCATCAGTCCTCCTTCTCTGCAACTGGATTCCAATTCAGCTCAAGGTTTAGCTGTGGGTGTCTGCTTCTACTTCCACCAGCTGTTGGATGAAGGCTATATGATTTACACAATGGAGTACTACTCAGTAGAAAAAAAATAATGGAATCTTCAAATCCGTAGGCAAATGAATGGAACCAGAAGAAACCATTCTGAGTGAGGTAACTTAGTCACAAAAAGACAAACATGGTATGTACTCACTCATATGTGGATTTTAGACATATAGTGAAGGATTACCAGCCTATTGTGGGATGGGCTCCCAAAGTCCATTCCTACGCTAGGGATAAGTACTGATCTACTACAAGAGGTCCCACAGATTTCCAAGGTCTTCTCACTGACACTCACATTCAGGGGGTCTGGATCAGCCCCATGCTGCTATCCCAGCTATGAGTCTAGGGACCAAGAGCTCTCCCTTGTTCAAGTCAGCTGTTTCTGTGGGTTTCACCAGCCTGGTGTGGACCCCTTTACTCATCAGTCCTCCTTCTCTGCAACTGGATTCCAATTCAGCTCAAGGTTTAGCTGTGGGTGTCTGCTTCTACTTCCACCAGCTGTTGGATGAAGGCTATATGATTTACACAATGGAGTACTACTCAGTAGAAAAAAAATAATGGAATCTTCAAATCCGTAGGCAAATGAATGGAACCAGAAGAAACCATTCTGAGTGAGGTAACTTAGTCACAAAAAGACAAACATGGTATGTACTCACTCATATGTGGATTTTAGACACATAGTGAAGAAATACCAGCCTATAATCCACACTGCCAGAAAAGCTAGGAAACAAGGAGGACCCTAAAAGAGACATACATGGTCCCCTGGAGAAGCAGAGAGGGACAAGATCTCCTGAGCAAATTGGGAGCACGGAGGGAACTAGGAGAATGAGAAGGGGAGAAGATGAGGGGTGAGGAAGACATGATGGGGCAGGGAGGTTGAGTTGAGGGACGAACAGAAGAGAGCAAGATAAGAGATAATATAATAAGAGGGAGACATTATAGGCTTACAGAGAAATCAGGCACTAGGGAAATGTCTGGAGAGCTACAAGATGACATCAACTAACAATCTAAGCAACAGAGGAGAGGCTACCTTAAATGCCCTCCCCTGATAATGAGATTGATGACCAATTCATATGACATCATATAGCCTCCCTCACTCTTTTCTACTCCCTTAAGTAACAGGTGTGTCTCCTGTACCAGCAGGGTTCTAACACCATCACTTCTGGCTGGCACTCATATAGCAAAGTTACAGATTTTCAGAAAATCATCTGAATTGCCCCACTCCAGTCTCTTCAGATCCCTGTGGATTCAGGTAACCCGGTACCTCACCCTGTACCACCATTTATTAGAATAGAGGGAACTATCATTAAAGCAGAGGTTTGTTTCAGTTTGTTCTATAGTCAATAACATCAGGGAAATGCTAACAAGGAAGAGATCTAGAAAAATGGGTCTAGGCATTTTACAAACAGTACCTTCCACTTTAAATATTTGACCACTGTAAAACTATCAAAAATAGGAAACTAATAGGCTTCCTTAAAAAAATCAAAAGTGTTGAGATTCTGAGTTTCCACACTTCATGTTCTAAAGTCTTTGTAAAAATAAAACTTACTAGTACTGCAATAAATTCATGAGACAAAGGCTACTTCAAAAACAATAGTAAGAAAAAGTGATTATCAAATAATAAAAGTACTATACTGAAAAGGAAGTATCACTTGCTTGGCACATGTGAGACTCTGGGTTCAAATCCCCAGAGAAGAACTACAGAAGAAAAAAAGAAAGCAAGAAAGACTATCCTAGAATAAACCAACATTCAGGAGCACAAATCACTTTTGCTTCTCAGATTATATAACTGTACTGATCTGACTTCATAGAGTCTCTATATGAGAAATGTGATTACTTTTGATATCATATAAGAAAATTTTACCAAGCTTCTTCATTACAGAATATCTATATACCCATATAATTACATTGAAATTGGGCCAAATTTTCTATGTCTTTGAGTCATCATTTGAAAAATAACTCCTAGTCTGGTAATGTTATGAAAAGGAATGAGACTCAAAGAGAAGAAATCTCTGCTTCCTGTCCTCTTATTATATTTCTACTATGGTATAGGCCACAGTTTGTGGGACTTTGCGGCCTAAGAAGATATCAGACCCTCATCTGAAAATTAAGAATTATACCAAGCATCTGGCCCATTTTAGAATGGGTCCTCTACATAGATCACACACCCATGAAGCAGGTCTCTTGTCTTGTGACCTTGACCATATTTGAAGGCCTCTCCTGTCAAACACTCACATCCTCTAAGGTCACCCATCTCTTATCTTTCCAATCTTAGCCACCGTGTGTCTCACTGGCAGAGACCTCCTTCACCCTCTACTATTTCTACTTCCAAATCAAATAAATAAGAGGGGGAATGCAATCTGAGCAAGATCAAAGTCAGGGCCCACAGCTTAGCACAACACTTCCCAGTGGTACCACAGTATCCAAACTCTACCCCAGTGCACTGCAAGACTGGGGTGCTGTGCAAAAGCAGGGGGTACTGCAGAATGGCTGCTTGCCACTGTTTTCTGTAACGGTGTGGTAAAATCATGTCAAATGGGAGACAAGCCCTTGCTTGTAATCAGAACATTACATTAAAAAAGAGCACAAGGTCACTAAACTGGTAACTTTTTCTATAACTGAGTATTTGCCACAGTGCTGTGCATAGCCAAGTAAAGATGTTTAAAGCACAGAACCAGAGCTTGTATTAACAAATTAAGAAGCATTTATTATTTCTGTGTGTATACAAACAGCAGATACATTTATCATTTGACTTTCATTCATTGATGAATTATGGAAAGCCATTACAGAAGTCCCTAGCATGTGAAAAGCAATTGTTCTCAGCTGTAATAATTTCTTCTCACTTTTTTATTAATTTTTTATACATTTTGATGATGTTTTTCTCCTCCCCAGATCCTCCCACCTCTCTACCCACCCAACTTTGTTTTCTTTTTCACAAAACAAACAAACCAAAGAACCAAACCAACCAATCCTCCACACACACACAAAACAAAAATCAAACAGACAAAAACCTTGGAAAGACAAAAACAAAAAGTCTACAAAAATACTACTGACTTCATTTTGTGTTGGCCAATTACTCCTGGGCATCTGGACTGCCTGAAGTGTGGTTGGCACACACAGTGACACTCCATTGGAGACAACCATTTTCCTTTGCCAGTGAGTATCAACTGCAGCTAGCTTCTTGTTTAGCGGTAAAATGCATTTATTACTTTTCAGACAAGAGAACTGCTGAAGAAATGCAAACATTACGAAGAGCCCAAAGTTAACAGATTATAGGAAAAGAGCACACGACAATCAGAGGATCAAAGGTCACACCAAAAACAACTTTCAGGAGCTAGGAAGATGGCTCATTTGGTAAAGGCAGACACGGGACTTGAGCTTGACCCCAGGACCCACATGAAAAGGTAGTGTGAGGAACACCCTGGCACCCAGTACTAGGAAGGCAGGGCCAGGCAGATTCCCTGCTGCTCACTGGCCAGCCATCCTCTAGTCTAATTAGCAAGCCCCAGGTTCCAGTCTAGGTGAGTAGCATCCTTAAAATGACACACAAGGTTACCCTGTGACCTCTACAGCTATACACAGATGTGCAACACACACACACACACACACACACACACACACACACACACAATCTTCAAGTCTAACTATAGTCATAAAATTAAATATCCTGTTTCAATTACATTGTTCCTGCTTTTAAAAATCTGATTTAAATTTTTAAATATCCAATAGGGTAATATACTTAATATTTAATATCTAGAAATTTAATATATATAACCACTCTGTTCATAGCAAATGCAGTTTTATTTAAAATTGTATGCATTTTCAGAAAATTTCTTTTCCTATTAAAAGATATCAGAAAATATAATTTCTGCAAAGACATGCTAATTTTACTTTCTCATTAGCATTACCAATCTCTTTACACTGAAACCAAATTAGATATACTGGAACATATATGGTCAGTCCTGAAAACATATACACCAGTAACACAGCAAACAGAGCAGATTATATTTAGGAATATATGTATATATATAGACACTTGTGCATGTAACAATTAATGGAAAGAAGCCATGAGTATGGAAGAGAACAGGAAGGGGTATTTGGGAGGTCTTTGAGGGAAGAAAGGGAAGGGAGAAATATTGTAATTATAATCTCAAAAATAAAGTCAAATTTTATGGTAGTTCTTTGAAAAATTAATTTCATAATACCAAAACTGAATTTGCAATGCAAATAATATGCTAGGAAACTCTTAAGATCCATACATTTTATTTTGATTGTATATGCACATATGGATTCCCATGGAGACCAGAGGCGTCGACCCTGGAGCTGGAGTTACAGGTGGGTGTGAGCTGCATAAGTGCTGGGAGCTGACATGGGTGCTCTGGAGAACAGGAAGCACTCTGGAATGCTGAGCCATTGTTCCTGCCTCACTGAGTATCTTACAGGAAGAAACAAGCAAACCCCACAGGACTTGACCCTCTCGTGCCAGATGAGAGATGAACAACCCAAGATTCTGACTTGAAAAATGAGCTTCATAAGGACTTGTCATGGAACAAAGCACTATTTTTAAATGTATAAAATAAAATAGAAGCAGGCTTATTTCACAGTTTTCTTCAAACAAGGCGTTATGTTGGCGCTTATTAAAATAAAGACTAGTTTGCTGCCATTACCTGGGATGAGGTCATTATTGGCTTCAATGGTAAAACCAAGTAACAGAGAAACAAAATCATTCAATGTGTGCAATTCAAACATTTCTGTTTTTAATGCCCCCATGTATGTGTTCCGTTATTAGTTAACTTCAGCCATTCTCAAAACATGTCTTGGATTAACAGTTTCAACACCACCTTATGGATTTGGTAACTTTTTTTACATATTCATAAGCCCCATCTACAGAACCTGAACGACAATGGCAGAGTCCATGCCTGAGCAGCTCTCCAGGTGATTCTGCTGCCTAGAACTTTTAAAACCAGTGGCTTAGCAGGCCTTCAAAATGTATGGAGTTTCTTGAATTTTGTATTAACAGTATCTACAGATAGACAAATCTGCTCAATTTAAGAGAAACAAGAAATCAATCATACAAATACCTAAAACCTATTCTTTTCCACAACACTATAAACTATACACAGGAGGAATTATGATAAAAGGTAAAGACTTCATCAACAAGTCAATGGGCTGAGAAAACAGAAATGACAAAATGACCGTGCATAATAACTATAATTTTATCAATGGAGGAGTAAACACATCATACCCATGGAGAGAACACAGCACATGAATGGAACACAGGGCAATGCCTGCTCACTAGGTAGCAATCAGTCTACCACAGCCCGGCAGTAACAGCTCCAGCACCATATAGGTCTAATGCAGACCATTTGCCAGAATGTGTGCATCTCTGTGTTTTTATTATTCAGTGTATTCATTTTCTCATGAGCTTACAGAAACACTCCTGCTCATGTCATAAAGTTTACATTCAGCGTACTGCAGTCTTCTGCAGTTCCCTATATCTTTCTCTGCTTGCTTTCCTATCAGGATCTTTCTTGCTTGATGAGCCACATTTGCTGTGAGAACCAAACTTGAGCACCTTCATTTATCTTTCCTTCTTGTCATTGAAACTATATGTCCCTTGTTCACTCACAGCTTTTACTTCAATATTTTTGAACATATAACTTTCTAGGTCCATTTTAAAACAAATAAATCAAGCCAAAGATACACATCTACTTTAATTCCCTACATAAAGAAATTTTCCATGAGGCCGTAGGGACCTCTAGCTAAACATCTAGAGCAGCCTTCCTGGCTCCAGTACTGGATGGTAAGAAATTGGAAAGTGTTGGTATATAGCTACAACCATTGTAAAATACAACCAATAACTTTAGCTCTGTTTTTTCATTCTCATAGGAATTGAACTTTCTATTTTCACTACAATATTTTATTGCTAAATAACTTAGAGATTTACTAGTAGTTAATAAAAACCCCAAACAATGAACTAAGGAAAACTGACCTAAGTGTAAATTAAAGTTTGTCAAAATAAACTCCAACCAATCAACCAACCAATATATTGCCTTTGTCCCACATTCGTGTGTGTGTGTGTGTGTGTGTGTGTGTGTGTGTATGTGTGTGTGTGTGTGTAATCCATGCAATCCTTTTTAATAAGAATGTCAAAATAGTTCTTGACTTTGAGGGTCATAAAAACTAAGCTGAGAGATGGATTTGGTGCATTAGTCATAATTTGTTGATTTCTGCTTTAAACAGTTGTACAAAAGGTTACACACAATACAGATGAGTCCAATTTTTGAATTAAATTTTTAAAGACACATTACATATTACAGAAAAGATCTATAATATGTATAACCAAAAACCAATTCCTACTTAAAATGAAATACTGAGTGGTATAATACCAACCTGCTAGACAAGATATAGCCATTGGTGCAATGCTGGTACAACTATTTTGGCAGCTGTCAACCACTTCCTGACTATTTGAGGCCCGCTCCATTAAAGAAAGTACTGGCTTTGTATTGGTCAATGGTCATGACTAGGAAGGACATGGACCATATGGTAGGATCTACTACTGTTATTTTGCTAAAAGAATATGTAGTTAAAACTGCCTTCTAAATACTTAAGGTTTTATCTCTAGACTAGTGTAGCTCCCAGTCTTAGTCAATGGGTGATAGTCAAAGTGGAGACTCAACCTGGTCAGAGCACTGCAAGTAACTGCTGAGTGCTCAGCATTAAATGGGCATCTATATAATCTTCTCTGAGGTACAGGAGACACTGTAGAAGAGGATAAAAGGGTGCTGGGGAAGAATACCTGACATGGCCACTGCAATCACCAACACATAGCAGATGTGACAACCTGTATCAGGAGAGGATGACCCTATCCCAAAGGATACAATAGACTTTGATGACACCCTATGGAAGGCCTCACCATCCAGGGGGAGCAGAAAGGATATGTGATAGGTAGGGTTTTAGTTGGGGGGTGGGGTGGTAGGGGAGGAGGGGAGGGAGAGGGAACTGGGATTGTCATGTAAAACAATCTTGATTCTAATTCAAATTAAAAAATCTGCAAAAAAAATTATCAGTGATTACCAACTAAGCCTAAAATGAGAAAAAGGACTATACAGAGCTGAGTGAGTGGCTCAATGATACTTACTATAAGTAAGGCCAGCACAAGAAAGAAAATGGGGCTGTGTGGAAACCAGAGCTCTGCATTTGTTGTTTTCCATGTGTATACACATGTGCATGTTTGCGACCATGTGTGAGGTTGATGTTAGGAGTCATCTTCGATGGCTCTTCCATTTTGTTTCATTAAAGCAGTCAAACGAAGATATGCTGATGTAGCTAGTCTTGCTATTCAGCTTGCTCTGGAGAATCCTGTCTTCACCTTTCAAGACTGGAACTACAGGCTTGCTGTTATACTTACCTGGCATTTATGTGGGTTCTGGAGACCTGAACTCCAGCCCTCATTCTTATATAAGAAGCCCTGTAACCACAGACTCATCTCCCCAGCCCCCCAAACCAGATCTTTAAAAGAAACTTTATTCTGCTGGAATGATAATGCCACCCACCCCCACCCCAACTCCTATATTTGAAAGCTTGGTCTACAGTTAATGCAACTATTTAGGGAAGGACTGGGAGTGTGGCTTTGTTGGAGGAGTATGTCACTGGGGATGGGCTTATAGGTTTTCAAATTCCATGCCATTCCATTCCTAGTTAGCTCTCTGCCTTCTGCTTGAGGATCAAGATGTAAGCTCACCTACTACTCCATGCCTGCCTACCTGCTGCCACGCTCCTCACTGTGATGGTGATGAAATTTAACCCTCTGGAACCATAAGCCCCAAATTAAACACTTTCTTTCATTAGTAACTTTGGTCATGATATTTTACAACAGAAGTTTTTTTTTTAAAAAAAGTAACTATGACAGCTACGGAATTGATAAGATAATCACTATCACATATGGTTATATAACCTAATGGATACACTGAACAGAATTATCTCTAAAGTACTAATGAGAAAGAAAAACAACTTGTTGTTTTAAAAATTTATTTATTCTTTATGTGCATGAGTGTTTTTCCTGCATGAATGTCTGTTTACCAGATGCCCAGGTAAGCCAGAAGAGAGAGTCAGATTCCTTTCGAACTGGAGTTGTAAGACAGTTGTAAACCACCATGTGGGTTGGGAATCAAACCCAGATCCTATGGAAGAATAGTACTTTTAATCACTGACCCATCTCTCCAGACCCAAGAAACACCGTTACTCCAGAAGGAGAGAGACAACTTCCATTTAAGAGATCCAGAGTTTGTGACAGCCACTCATGGGTCCCAGGACAGAATGTGAACTTGAACACACAATAATTTCACCTCTCAACTCATGTGTTTGTGAACAAAGATAAACCTACATAATTACCATATGTTGACAAAGTGAGTTATACTTACAACCAAAAAACAAGATCAAGTGGCTGGAGGTGTAGCACAAGGATAGATGGTATGCTTAGCAGGCAAGGTCCCAGCACCAACCCCCACACCACACTAAAACAAAGACAGTAACTCTGGCTTTTACTGTATTCTGGTGGAGGTTTGAATGATTCGAAGCTAACAACCTGCACAAACCTAATCCAACATTTCCTTTCTTCTCACACAAGCTGTGGTTTCTGAGTTTGGCTAGCTTCTCACTCTAACTGTGGCTGTATTTTTTCTGTATCCACTGTTCCAGATCTTGGCCCTCGTCTTCTTACCATACCTATTCAAACTGTACATTTCCACAAAGACCTCAGTTAAATTCTACTTCTGGCCCTACTCTTTTGGATATTATAGGGCACACTTTATTTCCCCAAAAGTTACTACTGTCCAGTTAGCACAATTGGTTAGTCATATAATAATTTGTATCACTACAATGTCATTCTATGTTCCAAGTCTACAATCATCATCATAGGCTTCAGTACTGTTACAAACATGATTCATAATTAAAACATAATTATTAAATGCATTTATTCAATGGCCTATGAAAACAATGGTTTGGCTGTTAAAGGTAAATATAAACTGAAGACAAAACTTAGAAAGAAAAAAACGCAATAAACTTGAACATTGAATTTTAAAAAGTGATGTGATAGAACCCAAAGCCAGATGAAATCTTATAAACTGTAAAGCGTGACCACAATTATTTTGCTCTTGCCCTCCCCCACACTGTGATGAGGTAATACACTGTCCTGATTTTAGTTCAATTTGTGGTCTAAAGATAGACTTGAACCATCACTGATGGCTATAAACTGTTAAGGTTACTCAGTAGTCCACTCTTCCTAAGGTGGCAGTCTCATCTCTGTAGGAAAGTTTCCAAAGGTTCAACCCTGCCAGGCAGGTCTGTGGGGCAGACCAGGTTTTCCCCTCCACCCCTGGGGGCAGCACTTCCTGCAGCGCTTTGAGGTTGTGTTTTTCTCCTTGGGCAACCTGCCTACTCATGGGTTCAGACTTATAACTTTCCATCAAAATTTATTGAAGATTTATTTCAATCTATTAGAGTCTTCCTGAGGAACTAGGTTAATCACTTCAAATAAAGAAGGTCACTTCCAGGTGTGATGATCGTACTAACTAAAGGTGAAACTATAATGATAAAAATGCAATTGTTAAGCATGAAGGCATACCAGGCAGTGGTGGTGCATGCCTTTAATCCCAGCACTCAGGAGGCAGAGTAAGGTGGATCTCTGTGAGTTCGATACCAGAGGTCTATAAGAGCTAGTTCCAGGACAGCCTAACCCAAAAAAAACCCTTTCCAAAAAAACCAAAAAAAAAAAAAAAAAAGCATGAAGGCATTTTAATAATGCCCTTCATGTAAAATACATAGGAAATGCTATTCTTGCACATAAATTTAGTGACACCCTGGGAAAGTTATACTGTACATGTGTACACAGATAGGGAAACCATCGTGAGACACATTGATCAGAAGTGTCCATGGAGACCAAAGGGGAATAGAAGACAGTTTTCCATATGCTAAAGTATCTTTGTTAGCCCAGGTGCTAATGAATGTACAGCTAGTTACTCACTGACAAAGCCATGAACACTGACTTGTGGGAAACAGAACAGTGCAATGCTTGATATGTACCTCAACTATCAAAAGTCAAACTCATTATTGTCCTCTAGCACTAAAATTCAAGCCACCCACTCTCTCCCCAGTATTTGGCCTTAACAGAAAAGACCATCACTAACTTCTGCCCATGTCAGAGCCTATGAGCTAGTCATAGGTGTTCCTACACTCTCCACTTCCTATCTAGTTAATCCTTCCCACAGCTATATCTATAACATGCCTATTCTTCATCTTCATTGCCACCATACTAGCTTAAGCCCATTGTCCCTTTCTTAGCTTCACTGTGAAGCCTGCTGGGATTACATAACATTCTACAACACAACAATGACTAGTAACTTGCTCAACAACACAGATCTTACGGTTTTGTATCTGGCTTCCTTCACTCTAATGAGCACATCCTGCGTATTGGTATTTTTATAAAGTACACAGGCATACCATGGGTATGTTAGGAACACAGGCAAGAAGTTTCCTCGATGAATGGGGGGGGCAGGGCTAGTGAGAAGGAGAGAAAAATGACGACTTTGAGACACTGGTGATGCTTACAAAGGGTTCACTTGTGAAAATTCTTGAAGCTCTACACCCCCAGTATGCTCACTGCTCTACATGGGCAGCAGGCTTTGGTGGAAAGTTTTAGAAAAAATACAAATCTGGTATCCAGTAGCTTCTTTCTGCTCTTAATATGAAGGTCAAATGATGAATACCTAATAGACCGGGAAGGCATTGCACCATATACCCTTATTAGCCATGCTTGAAAGTCTTTGGTCTTGAGTATGCTTTGTCCTCCCTTACCCTTCAGGGCCTTCATATCTGCCATGCCCTCAACCTAGAACTCTATTCTGGCTCCCATTTTGTTTTAAAGTTTCATTTCTACAGCTGGAAGTAAACTATTTTCTGACCTATGCCCTCTGCTCCCCTGTGCAACTCTCCAGCACACATTTTCCATAGACCGAATTATAAGGGTAGAAAATGCATTTTATTACCATTCTTTTGTTACAGTTCTCCTTGTAGTCAGTAGTTGATTACATAAGCTTGATTATGTCCTATCTAGGAATATGAAAGGTAGCTATGGATATTTCAAAGCCTAAATATTTCAGTAAAAACTGAAATTGTGAAGAGCTTTTGATACATAAATATGAAGGAAATGAGAGATAAATGCTAAGTTGTTAATGCAAAGAAAGACATGCATGTGGATAAAGAAAAATGTGTTTAATGTTTCTCACACTTGCCTGCAAGTCCTAGTGCAAACAGCAGCATTTGTAACACTATTCTTAAAAACATAAATAATTGTTTATGTAGCATGGATGTCAGATTATTTTTGATGGTAATGAAAATCAAGTATCCACCACTAACTCTATGAGTTGAATGATTAATGTTTCAGTTTTTTGAATGAGAGGATAATATTTAATATGCCTATGTAGAGTTTAAAGAAATTATACATACTTATATATATATATTTGCAATGTTTCGGAATGGGTTTTAAAGTTTTATATGGTGAATACATCAGATAATTGCAAATTATTAAATTCCTTATCCCTGCCAGGCATTGGTGGCACACGCCTTTAATCCCAGCACTTGGGAGGCAGAGGCAGGCAGATCTCTGTGAGTTCAAGGCCAGCCTGGTCTCCAGAGTGAGTGCCAGGATAGGCTCCAAAGCTACACAGAGAAACCCTGTCTCGAAAAACAAACAAAACAAAAAATCCTTATCCCTCAGTTTCTTTATAAGTAAAATGATCCCATGACACTATATCAGCAGTGGTTTGACAAAGTTTTGATACAAACTCTTTGGGGATGTGATGAAAATTAAGAATCAGATGCCTAGCAACAAGGAGTATACATAGAAAATGATTAAGTTACCAGGTGTTTTACAAACTCTCTTGATGGTCACCCAAGAACTCTTGGATTAAACAGGGACTAAGACTTAAGTCTCTTCCTGTAGTTTTAAGTTATAGTTTTAGAAATAATGTTGAAACCTTTAAACAAAAGAAAACCAATCATGTGAAGAAAAATGAAAACCCAAACACAAGTCATTGATATGCTCTTTTCTGTTAAAAATATTAGCTAGAAAGTCTAAACACCTTATTTATATATAGATGCAGGTTTAATTCATGCCTTAGAAATCTGAAGTTAGGCAAAGCAAGATTCATACATAAATCTAAGGTATTTCCATACACAGCAATGTGTAACACTTTATCTTTCAGATGACAATAACCCTCCACCCAAGTCCACCACTGCCAACCGGCTTTGATTCCTTTTCAGAGTGAGGAAGGAAAACACACCATGAAGATCATGATCGGGACCTTCAAGCTACCTGGTTTTAGGAGGAGAGCTATCTTAGAATTTCTTTAAAATAATTACTTTTTAAAAAGATTTATCTATAATTCTAGCTCTCTGAAAGATACAGAATTATAAACATACCCTCTCTTAGTTAGACACAGTCTCCTATGTGTGAATGCATTTGAAATGCATGATAGCTATGCTCTAAGAGGAAGAAACTTCCACTTGGTACTGCCAGTTGGGAGTATTTATTTTAATTTTATGTGTATCAGTGTTTTGACACACATTGGTGCCTACAGGCCATAAGAAGGTATTAGATCCCCTGGCACTAGAGTTACAAATGGTTATAAGAATTCCTGAGTATGCTAAGAGTTGAACCCATGTTCTTTGCAAGAACAGCAAGTGCTCTTAACTGCTCAGCTATCTCTCTAGTCCCCAAACACTCATAAAAAAAAAAAAAAGACGTGTGCAGGAATTTTAGATTAACTATAACTTTACAACAATAATTTCACAATAAAGCATTAATAATAAGAAATAACCTGTATTACTAAGCATCACCTTACAATTTCAGTAGGTTTATGTACTACTCCCAAATTTCTTCCCAGCTGGCTGAAGAGTTATTATATTCACCCACTTTCTTCCATGCCACTACAAAGTTTCAAAATATGCAGCATGCTCTCAGAAATAAACAAAAGCAATGAACTCTATGCTACTTAGTCTGTGTTAGAGCTACTTAAGGGATTTGAATTTTTAAATTACCTGCAACAAGACTAGCTCTGACCACTGAACTATTTATATACCAAAAAGTGAAATGGTTCTCAAGGCCTTTCTGTGGAGGTCTAAATTCTCCCTCTTCTCATTCTAACAACAGAGGCAAGGGATATTTTCCTACAACACATTCTATTAGGCAGACACAGGAAGGCCAGTGGTTTGAAAGAGGGTGATGTTAGCCATGTTTTAGAAGTAGGGCTGCCAAACATGTGCAGCTTGTCTCCAAGACCAGTAAGAAGAGGTAGGTGAAAGCGGACAGGTGGCAATCCTTGTCACCCAGCCCTGCTATTCCCTGTTACCAATGCTAGAGTACCCAGGGAATTGTGTTAGAATTTAGCTTTTGTTGAAAGCAAAAGTTATCTATCTAGTGCTCACCTACTTCTCACATAGCATTTTCAAGATCAGCACACATCTTCTTGTCCTCCCTAGAAAATGAATGACGCATGATGACATTTTCATCTAGGGTTAGCCATTTTGAGGTGTTAATAAATCAACAAAAGAACCATAAGGTTTTCTGCTGTTCAAGTCTAATAAGTCTAATTTATGTCTCTGCCCTAAGTTTCTCCTGCTGGAGTCAATGTTTTTATTCTCTATTTCCTGAAGAAATGAAGTCCAAAAGAAAAAAAAAAAGGTGATTTTTCAGCATTTCTTTCTATTAGGACTTGACATAATGAAAGTGATGAACATATGTTTCTGAAACATTAAGAAGACCTTTGTTTCTGTACTTTTTGAAGCTTTAATTGATTGCAAATGATTTTAGAGTTCCTCTGCAGTAAAGACAAGCAGCAGCTTCAGAGAGAGAATGAACACCAGCACTTCAAAGTTGACTTATCAATTTAAATGGTGTCACCAGAGTGCCTAAATTATGTGATTATTTCAAAATTCTTGACTTCAAATCTAAAGACATTCAACAGTTTTGCTGAGGAACTAAACTCAGCAGTTATATACTGGTGTAGATGCAGATTGACTGAAAAAATAAGTTTTAGTATAATTGGGTTCCTGTGTATGCCTCCCCTCCCCAGGTGTGTGTGAGTGTGCATACATGTTAAGTACAGTGACAGCCAAAGGTCAATTATGAGTTTCTTCTTGGATCATTCTATATTCTGTTTTGGAGACAGGATCTCTAATCAAACATCTATGCTAGCTGGACAATGAAGTCCTGGATCTGCCTGTCATTACCTCCCCAGGGTTAGACAGAGGCTGACACACCAAGGCTGGGGATATAAATTCTGGTCTTGTGCTTGTGTTTCAGGAACTTTATTGACAAAGAAGCTCTATTCCCAGGCCCCGATTAAAAAAATAATAAGACAAAAATTAAAAAAATATTATCTATAGGGAATATTCCATTTATAAACCATAAAAATTCTTGATGGACACATAATATCTTGGCCACCAGTGGTGGTCCAGGTCTGATGATCTCAGGCCTTCAATAAAGCATTCCAAAACCAGTCCTGCTTTGGAAGCTTGGGCCCACATATGTGCACTCACTACCCAGTGCTTACCTTTAGAGAACAAAGTGGCTGACACAAACTGACCAAGCTCTCAGCCCACCTCCAAGAACACTGAAAAAGATCTGCGGATGGTTCTTGGTGCGGGAGGAACCGCTACAGTCTTCTTGTGGTGGAAGTTAAGATTATCCTGAAGGAGGAGAGAAGAGTGAAACATTACCCTGAGACCACAGGGGCCAAGTTTATGTTCTAGATCAAATTGAGACAATTCTAAAAGGTCACATTTTCTTCTTTAAAAAACTATGTTCTTTGTTACACATATGCACATATTATGCCCTTCACCAGATCTTAGGGTAATTTAAACTCTGCCTTATCTCTGGGGAATTAAAAAATCGAGAAAAACCTGGGAAAATCCTGTGTTGTAAAATGATCACAATCCTATACTGCACTTTAATAAATATGATTAGTATAGCCCAGAATCTGTCTGAATCAGCCTGTTAGAGCATAAGGGCCACAGACTCCTTTTTTTTTTTTTTAAAGATGTGGATTATCTAGTCTTGGCATATTTAGTAAGCAATAAAATTTTCACGAATAGAAAGAATATTAAACAACTAGTCATTATTTGCAAAGTCAAAAATTACATAAAATGAAATAATTAAAAGACTATGCATTTTGATTTTGAAAATATGCCCTTTAAAATTAACAATATTAATAATATAAATCTTAACCACCTATTACATGTTAAGAAAATGTTTCAAAATGATCATGAGAAAGAATCAGAGTATGTTATTATAACCCACACCCCTGACAAGGAACAGAATAGCACACCTATGTGAAAAGTTATGAAGTATGAGAATATTAAGAGATGAAATGGCTATTTATATTTTAGCATTTCTTTTTATCTTATGGCAAGTTGGACATGAACACCTATAGCTCTAATTCTGCCTGAGTAAGTTGTGACATCACACTGAAATCAGAAGATTTCAGTCCATTCAGTCCATATATAGTTTAAAGAATAAGTGTAGTTCGTTCACTTTTTTCTTTTTTCTCCATTTTTAATTTAAAAACAAGATTGTTTTACATGTCAATAGTTTGTTCACTTTTTAAAGATGTAAAACGTAATAAACTAAGTCTCTTCATTTGTTTTCCATTAACTTATAGATCATGACCGAATACAGGCAGCCTTCTTAAAGTGCTGTCCAACTATTCAGACTAATTAATTTTTTAGAAAAAGGAGAAATGCAGAAGTTACATGGTCAGAGCTTTGATAAGGTATTGTGTATAATTTAAATAATCAAAGCTGCAAGGACACCAGACTCAAGAAAAGTTCTTCATAACTGACTCTATTTGACTGCACACTCTCAAAGTGTGATGCTGGTTTGCAAGATAAACTGAAAAGTCAACAGTGCATTTCATTTCGGGACAGAGTTTCCAAAACCACAATGTGGAAATCAAAGGAAATTCAGGACTCATGCTTACTCTGAATTACTGAGTTAATGACAGGACAAAGTTTTTGAAAATGTTTACAAACATCTTGATATTTAAAATGTAGTGGCCTTAAAGGGCATCTACTTTAACTTGTCTGTTTGAGACTCGGTTTATATCAACATATAGTAGCTCAATAAGCATGCTAATTTATGATGGTTAGTATGTATGTATGTGTGTATATAAATGTAAATATATTCACACACATGTATATACACACATTATCAAAGGCATAGTATCCAACTGCTAGTAATGATAAATAATATGTAAATTATGGTGTGAATATAGCATACAAATTATGTATACACATACAAACAACCAGAGCACAGACTTGGCTAACACTAAATTACAACTGGATTTGATACTTCCAGTGGTGCCTCCCATCTACTCTTCTCCTCAGAAGTAGTGGAAATTGTTTAAATAATTTAGTGAAATCATCTGGTAAACCAGGAAAGGCCACACACATGTGCATGCACTCATATGTATTTTATGATAGACATTACTGTGTGTTTTTATTTCCTTTCCCTTAAAAGGCTATAGTGTCCTTTTGATTGACACTAACTGAGACCTCAGTACTGCTTCGCAGTGCTTCCTACAGAGGGTTTGTAATGACTACTCCTGCTGTGTAAAACTTGCTTATAAAGATTCAGTGTAAAGATGAAAACATTTTGCTACCTTTAATGATTTATTATTAGAACAAAAGAATCCTAATCAATAGAACAAAAAAAATCAATCTGAAAATTATACTAAAGAACTTTTACATTTCCTTTATAAAAAGGGTTCAACACCTCATCCTAGTCAGAATGGCTAAGGTAAAAAACAATGACAGCAAATTCTGGCAATGGTTTGGTTACACTGTGAGCAGGAATGCAAATGGGTACAGACACCATAGAAATCAGTGTAGAAGCTTCCTAAAAATCTAAAGATTACCATATAACCCAGCTAGAGCATGCTTGGTATATGCCCAAAGGACCATGTACCCACCATACAGATAACTTGCACATCAATATTTATAGCTGCTTTATTCAGTAAGAAAATGAAGAAGCCTAGATGTCCAGAGGTTAGGAAACTATAAGGGGAAAGGAGAGGGGAAAAAAGGGAGGAGAGGGGAAGGGAGAGGAGAGGTGGAGAGAGGAGGGGAGGACAGAGAAGAGAAGGGGCTTTGAGGGAGAGCAGGACAGTAGAATAAATGAAATATTAAAATGGATGGGATGAGGGTTAAAAGGTTTAAGGGGGCTCGTGTTGCAGGGAGATAACATGGAGAAGATAATGAGAGGAAAGTCAACCAAAATTATGTGAAAAAGCCCAAAGAAAATCTGCTATTTTGTAAGCTAATTAGGAAAAAACTTTTTAAAGTCTGAACAGAGGTTCCCTGCATGGGTGGATAAAAATGCTCTCAGACTCTGTAAGGTTGTTAAATGAAAATCTTGGTGCCAGGGATGAGCTGGTCAGAGAGGCCCTGAAGTCTCCTAGACAACACAGGCTACTGCCACTATTGTTGGTTTCTCACCGTTGGTAGAGATACCACACACTTTGGGGGTAGGACATAGAAAGATGAGTCTAGGACTTACAGAAGCTCCTTCTTTGATGACTAGCTTCACAGAGTCAGACTGACTTGGGAACTAGGTGGAGAATTGTCATCAACAGTCATCCTCAACTGTAGACTGTGCCTTGCACTACTGACCTGCCAGGCAAACAAAGGCCTACTGATTTAATAGTAGCATGACTGTTTGGGGGATAACCAAACATTTCTAATTGGGTTTGAGGCTTGCTCCACACGAGGGAATTCATTTCTGGTACTGGAAACTTGGTAAAAAGCCCATGGCTAAGGAGGATATAGATCCTAGTGGGGAATCTATTGTTCTTGTATTGCTAAAGGGATATGATGCATCTGTCGAATAGCCATAAACACATATGCATATAGGCACATATATGCGTGTGTGTGTGTGTGTGTGTGTGTGTGTGTGTACACGTGTGTATGTGTGTGTGTGGGTGAGTGTGTATATATGCCCATACACTATTGTTGCTGCCAGCTTTGGTCAAGGGAGCTTCTTTCTCCAGTGTACAATGGTTACAAAAGAAGCTCATAACTAGCCAAAAAGTTGAGAATAAGTGTCGTTTGAATACTCAGCCTCAAATGAAACAAACTAATACTCCTCCCAAGTTTAGGAAACATTATGGAAGAAGAGACAGAAAGAAGGTAAAAGCCAGAGGAAGGGACGGGGTAGTGTTGTGGAATGATGCTTTATAGCAGTGTGGCCACTGAACTCACAAATTTCCAGCAGCTGTGATTATCTACACAAACCCTCCACAAGATCCTGCTGCTCTCCATCACAGCCCCTCCCCATCCCCGAGGTGGTTAGGAATGAGAAGGTCACAGGCCTCATCTCTCCTTGAGCATCACTGGCAGTTCAGTTTGCTGGGGGAAAGACATTTTGTTCAGTAATAGCCACTGAAGTTGATCAAACTCTTGTAAATAAATTATCACCGTGCCCTATAAGCAATGGCATCACACACACACACACACACACACACACACACACACACACACACACACACAGTATAAGGGGGACTATTTGACAACAGGAAGGGGATCATCAGGAGTAGGATAAGACAAGGACAAGAGAATGAAACTGGGGTGAATATGATGAAAACACATTATATACATGTATAAAATGTTATAATGAAGCTCATTATTATATATAATTAATATTTAATAAAAGACACAGAAAAAGAAACACTATACTCAATCTCAGCAAACAGCCTCCAAGGCTGTAAACAGAAAACAGATGATTCACGTTGGGATATTTGGGAAGCTCTGAAATAATATATGCAAAAACCAATAATGCATTTTCATTTTACAGAATGAATACATGCTTTTTCAGGACAGAATTCTTTACTAATAAATCTGGAAATTAAAAGCAACTGGTAACTTCACAGCTTTTCATTAATGTGGAAAATTAGGGATACACACACACACACACACACACACACACACACACACACACACACACACACACACACACACGTCCAAGACAGAAATATACACATTCTGTAAATTGACAAGTTAGGGGACTAATCATCTCAGAAGATTTATACTCTCTATTCTATTATTCATTTGTGGCAGGGCAGAAACCTAATCTTGGAGTTCATGATTCAATTTTTTTTGTTGTTGTTCTTTTTGTTTTTCGAGACAGGGTTTCTCTGTGTAGCTTTGGAGTCTATCCTGGCACTTGCTTTGGAGACCAGGCTGGCCTGGAACTCACAGAGATCTGCCTGCCTCTGCCTCCCAAGTGCTGGGATTAAAGGCGTGTGCCATCAACTCCCAGTCATGATTCAATCTTAAAATCCCTTAAATGCCTCTATTCTTTTGAAATGAGTAATAACGTACAATACACAAAGAGTAAATCCCCAGTAGATACTTGTTAACAGATTGCATCAGAACTAACAGCGGAGGTGGAGACTGTATCCAAATATCTTTCACTTAGCATCTTACAATGAGAGAAATATTTCTACAATGCAAAGCAAAAGATATACTAGATTATAAAACATAAATTTAGGATTATTTTATGTATTAAAAGTTTTAGATATATTTATTTTACAAGTCTGAGTGTTTTGCCTGTATGTACTTATTTATGTATGTGCCTACAGAGGTCCGAGGAGATCATGTAACTCTGAGAACTGGAGTTACAGTTTGTTGTAATCCACCATGGGGAGCTGAGACTTGAAGAGTCTGGGTCCTCTGCAAGAGCAACAAATGCTTTCAACTGCTGAGCCATCTCTCCAACCCCTATTTTCATTTCATTATTTAAATTAAAAATATTCATACTTAAAACAGTTGAGTTAATTCACTACACAAGTTCTGTTTTGCATATATAAACTTCAAAGCCATAGAATCACAATTCAAAGAAAGTGTCATCTGAAATTTCACCCTGAAATTGTTTTTCAACAAATTCATTAATTGAGAATTAATTAATTAAGTGTGAATATATCTGTGTAGGACATGAACTTAAAAGATATGATATTTACAGAAAGCTTTACAACTTAAACATTAATTCTCATGGTAACATAAGGACTGCGAAGAGAATACTTTTTCAATAAGATGACAAGCATCACTATGTCCTTTTAGGGTTACAGCTGGACCTACTGATGAAAAGATTGGGGTTTTCATAAAGGGTATTCAGCACAATCTTTTCATTCACAAACTTACCATACTTTAGTTTATCTTTTTTATGAGGCGTTTGATAACAGGTGTTTGATATTTTTTGTTAGATGAGAAGAACCACTCTTATGTGGCTGGGACAGGCAAGAGTCTTAGGCTAAATGCTAAAGTGACCTTGGTCCTAGAGATGCAATTATGGTAGCCATTTTAAAGTGGCTGCTGAGGAACCACAAGACTGGGTGGAGATTCGCCTGCCCTATTACTCTATAGCAATTATGATAACAGGTCTTGGTAGTGATTACAATCTGTGTATTAGAGGTAAATTCTTTGGAGTAAATGACAACATACACATCACACAAAGTCATCTATTCTGTAATCATGTCAGGTTACTTCACTGGTGCTGGGGATTGTTTTTGATAACAGAATTGTTATCATTATTGTTACTGTTATGAACAATAAAATACAGAACCATGCAAAACACTTTCCACATGTGAAATATTGTTCCAAGCATTTAATATACATAAAACAATCTAATTTTCTGTATGATGTATACTGTTTCATTTCAGACAGAGGGAGCCAGAAGCACAGGGAACTCTTAAGAATGTGAACCCTCCATTTGTAGGTGTTAACAAATCTAGCTAGTCTGACCTAGAGACCTACTTCTTAATGACAGCATGGAAGTCCTTATGCAGAAGTGCCTGGCATAACTTTATTAGATGGCATGTCTAACGTATAACCCAAGACAGGCATTATGGGTTTGTAACGAATGACACACACATGACAGGCAGTCCATCCATGTTCTGCCATATTTACTATGCTTTAGTAACTTAAAGATCTTCTACAGAAGTTTCTTGTATTAAGATATATATATATATATATATATATATATATATATATATATATAAAGATTGTTTTGCTTTCTATGAAAATACTTTTAAAGACTTCCTGACAACTTTTTATGCCAAATTGAAACCCATTTCAGGAGGAAGGTAATTAGTTTATTCATTAGTTAAATTACTAACACACAAGAGGGTCAACCCCTGAGGTACCTTTAAGAAAGGACGTTGTTTTTGCAATGCCACAAGTTACTGGGTGGTTTTTATCTGTTCAATGTCTGTGTTCTGTGTTCAACTATAACCCAGGGATCACAGGCTTAGCACTGGCCCCCAGTGTCCAGTGCAATCAACATCTGACACAAAGCAGGCTGCCACTAAATAGTCATTTGATGCATAAATGGGATTTATTCTTCTATTATGTTTACTCAGCAAAGACCTACCATAACTGGCAGTTTAATATATCTGGTAATATCTATCTCACATAAGATTTAGCACATTGACAGTTATTGCCAGGATATTAACTTTAAAGATAGGACAGAATTTTGAAATGAGCCCTCATGGTTCAAAGCAGCAAGAGTTTAAACTTCCAGTTCCATACCATTTTTAGTTACAACTTACTTCTTCTGACAATAGTAGCTTCAAAGACCCAGATACAAGTTATTAAAACATATAGTGCATTTGCTGCACCATAGATACCCTAAAAGATTCCCAATAGCCTTTGTTTGCTTCAGAAGCCATTAATAATCATTTCAACAAAAGAGATGCTATGCATCACCTCTACCTGTGTTATGTATGCAACAGTACTTTTAAAAAGATGCTTACTAACATATTTAACTGTACAAAGTGAAGGGTTTCATTGTGATATCTTCAGATAGGCATACACTATACATTGGTCATGTTCACTCCTCATTATCCTCTCTTATACCTTTGTGTTTCAGGTTTCTTCGTGTAGTGAAACTCTTTACCTGACATCTTAGGCCAGTCACATCTAACTCACAGATCCAAAGGAGTGGTCAAAAAAAAGAGAATGCTATAGACATCACAAGGCATGCTACACAGTAAAGAATGTTTCCATTTCCCCAGGATACCCCTCCTGAGGCTCTGGACTGTCTTACATCTCTAAACTGACATCCTCAAATCAGAGTACCTAAGAGACAGCTTGGGGACACCTGAGTATATACAGATACAATCACATAATTCTCAGGAAAATATAAGGTACTTAATTTGGAATTTTACTACTTGAGAAATATTGGTCTTAATTTTGTGTTTAAATGTTTAAATATTCAGTGGTAAATTAGAGAAAGACCATTAGTTCTAAAAACATGAACTTTTCCGATTTTGGTTTCATGTGTGAGATGAACAGTTTACAATAATGTTGCATAGTTTATAAAAGGTCAGAGAAAATATCTCAAGACTGCAAACATAAATAAAGCAAAGACAAAAGCAAATGTTAGTCAGTGCCAGTGTAAGTACAATTAACACATGGTAAAATTAACATCCAGGCTAACCATAGTTTGCAAAATATTCATTATCTAACATATGAAAATAACTATTATTTTTCAAACATTACTAGTGTCTCCTTTAAATGAGATTGTATCATGACAGAAGTGCCAACTTTAGACATCCAAATGACCTAATATTTTATTTTTCAAAACTTAATGATGCATAAACCTTAAAAATAAATGTGCAAGAACATAATTTTTACATTTTAACAGGGATAAAATTTATAAAGAAATAGTGCCTTTAAAATGTCTGCTTGTAACTTTCTATCAGTTGGATAGAAAGAACTTGGAGTTTTCCATGCTTAATTTCTGAAGTACTGGATCTAATTAGGAATTCTCCCACTGATGAAATTCTCAACTAAGAATTTGGCTTTCATGAGCCTCTATTGCAAAGGTTTAAGAAATTTAAGAAACTATAATAGAAGTATAAAAATGTATGATTCCTTGGTCATAAGTAAATCATTCCAAGGTTTTATTTAAAAGATGTTTAATTACTACAGTTGTAAAATAAAAGTTCATATTGTTTCACTTTTTAAAATCTGCTTTAGTTGTATCTCAACTTTATTGCTTCTCCACTCACAGCAACATATGCTATTTCATGGGTTTGTCTGTGACTACAATTCTACCTTTAGACTGAGGTAGATGTTGTGATCTAGAGTACTCAGGACATGTCAACATCTAATGACTGCATGAGAGATGCTGAAGCCAAGTGCTTGTCACAGGGGGCAATTCTGATACATTTGTCATTAAGCTATGGAAAATGGCTAAGAACATGGCAAGATTTAATAATATAATTTTCACATTTCTAGTTAAGCAAGAAAATTTATTCAAACTATTTGTCTCAAAAAATTGTCTGATATGAAACAGTCAACTGAACTACTATGCAGTATTAATATTCTAGTCTTTATCAGTTATTATCTAATTATCATAAAGCTACAATGTCTATGAGATGGTAACATAAGCTTTGATAAAATCTGGCTTTAGATCATAACTGTCACTCCTATCCAAAACAACCGTGAGTCCAACAGGACAGAGATGTCCACATGAAGAGATGTGTAGACACCAAATATATTCTAAAAAGAGTCTGTTTACATTCATTTGCAGCATATCAAAATGAAGCACATTGGGGTTCCTGTTTTTCAGTGAAAGCAAAAAAAAAAAAAGATAGGGCAGAGATGTCTGATTTTTATCACCAAAGTTTAGAATTATAAATTTATTGTCTGGCTCATTTTGGTTAAAGAAGCACCTTTGTAAAATTAGTATTTGATACAAAGCTGTAATAGCAATTTTCAAGGTATGGAAACAGTTTTGGACAGCATTTTGTTACACAGCTCAGGTTGACCTCAAATTCTCGATTCTCCTGCCTCAGCCTAAGATTGCTCTACTATAGGTGTGTTCTACCATACCAGACTTCTGTAGCAGAATTTTTACGGTAAATAATTTTATTTTTTCTTTATATTATTGCTATCAAAGCAAAAAGATACTCTTATTCAATATACTATTATAAACTTTAAGACATATACTCTGAGAGATACCTAGAAATTGCACAGGCAAATTCAGTTTACTATAAATATGCTTAAAACTTAACTTCATTCAGGCAATATTTATAGCATGTCATTTTAAAGATAATTAGGAACACAGAACTATGAAAACTAAACTTGTTAAACTTTACATGAACCACATAAACTAATTTTTGAGTGTTTTTACTAGTTTTCTGAATACTGCATGTATAAAGTCCCTTGTAAGACTGTTCTCTGTACATATCTTATAAAAAGTATAACAGACATGTAAAACTCACACATTTGGTCTAATGTTCTAGAATAAAACATTCTAAAATTTTATTTTAAATATATATTCTATATATATGTGTATATATTTATATACACATATATATGTATATATAAATATATATATATATATGAACATATAAGTTAAGAGAAAATCCTTACCGTTGATTTCCTTTTGGTGCTAGTCACTCCATTTCTCTTGATGGTTCCTTCCTATGTCAAGTAGACAGTAACCAGGTCACATGACACTTGGGTTCTCCCTTCTTCAGATGGGAATTTTCAGCCAATTGCCAGTTGAGAATTTAAACTGGAAACTAAATTACCCAAACTTTATTAAGTCATTCCCATATCCACCAGCTGATAATGAGCAATGACACTAACTGGAAAATTTTTAAAAAAAATGCATGGTCTACCTCCTTTTAGGCAGTCATATCATATTTAAGAAGAAATACTATCACCTCAAACTGAAATTTGCAGTATCAGTTCAGTCTTTCCACTTAGGTCCCCACAATCATCCCAAACATATAATAAAGATGGTATTTATTTGATGATGCAATAAATTATTAAGTCACAAAGTTAAATGCCACCAAATATTATTGCCTTCATCTAAGAGCTAATTATAATGTCTGGAAACTGGTTGACTGTAACATTCGTTTTTACAAAATACTAACTCATCAACTACTTGCAGTACTATGTACCATAAAAGAAATTCAAGGTTACTGCAGACAAAGAATTCACTGAAAATATCATCTTAGTGTTGAAATAATGTGGGTACCCATTTGCAATTATAATACAAAAAGTTTTAGTCTGTTTTCCACACCCCTGCCCATTTAATTGGTAGCTATTCTTTGGAGAGTCTGTCAATCATGTATGATCTCTAATCATTATTGGTTTTTATTATTACTTGGTTGTTTAGTCTGTTTTAATGATTTTCATATTAAAATGACTAATTAAAAACTTTCTGAATATAAGCTATAGTAGATCCAAAATTAAGTGCACATATCTAGACACCTAAAAGACCTCAAATTTCAGGTTCTATGAACAATCACACAGATGCACATCTATTTATCCATTCAACCTCCCACCCATCTATCCACCAATTCCCTCATCTATACAACCATCCATCCATCCATCCATCCACCCACCCATCCATCCACACACATACCCATCCATCCATCCACACACACCCAAACATCCATCCACCCATCCACACACACACCCATACATCCACCCACCTATACAGACACACACCCATAATCCATCCACACACTCATCCATTTATCCATCCACCCATCCACACACACACACCTATACATCCATCCACCCATCCACACACACACCCAAACACACACACACACACACACACACACACACACACACACACATCCACCCATACACACACTCATCCACCCATACACATACTCATCCTTCCTCCCATCCAATGTTCCTATATCATATCCTGAAATTGCTACAAAGGTACTATGTAAGAGAGACTTTAGGCTGAATCAGCTCACAACCAAACCAAAAGAACAGACTTCAGACACAGGAATTCAATAGAGTTATCATATTTACCTCCAAACAGTTTGCTATCCTAAAAGCAGCACATTCCACTTTGTTTGATATGTTTAAGACCGCCCCAAAACCTCAATATGTGCAACATTTACAAACCATTCAAAGATTAACAAAGTTCTTTCTCAGGTGTTATGTACCAACAAAGGAAAAGGTTCTTTTTCTTAAGGGGGTTACAATGTAAAACTTAATTGTGTGTGTGTGTGTGTGTGTGTGTGTGTGTGTGTGTGTGCAGTATGTTGTACAAATGACTGGATATCCAACAGAAACAAGCACACTGAAACACACACATATGTGTGAAGTATGATGCACAAATGACTGGATTTCCAACACACACAAACACAGCAGCAGCAATTGTTTTGAACAGGTTGATGACATAGGGAGCAAATTTGAGAAGCCTAATTTATACTAAGAAACATCTCTGAAGTGAAAAATACCAGCTACTTTTTCTTATTTAGTTTAATAAAGTCCTCACAGCAAACAGTGACTGAATACAGAATATGGCCATAGAAGTATTCATGAACTCAGTATGGAAGATCAAAGAGAAATTCCTCAGCCAAAAGAAATGATAGAGAATGTAAGCACCCCTCCACACTCCCTCAAAGTCCTACTGTCAGCAGGAAAGAAGCAACTTGAAACACCCTAATGATCACAGTCATCACGGCTCTAAGTTCATTTTTAATACAAGACACAAAACAGACAGGTCTCCTTGAGACAGACAAGATGAGGAACACATGATTCCTGCTAGCACACCTACACAAGAAGGCTGCTTCAGATTTCAGCAGGTAAATCCCATAAGACCAGCTTACAGGTGCATGTGCTTGCATGTAGTTAAACATTTCTAATACATGTACACTTTATAATTTATCACCACCTCTTCATTTTATAAACAAACCCAGAAGCCTGACATCATTAGCCCAAAGTCACATGGTTATCAAAATAAGACTCCTAAGAACAATACATCCTACATTTACCACAATTAAGAAAAAAGACACCAGGGGAAGGAATATTAGAATAGAAATTTAAATATTTTAACATCCATGCTAATATTACATTTTCAGATAGCCCATAAACCTCAGAAAATGCAAATCATATTATCCATATAATCCATAAAGTTAGAAAGACTCATGAAATGGAATTCCCTAAAATTTCCATGGCTTCCCATCCATTGCTCACACTTGGCACCCGTGTGTGTGTGTGTGTGTGTGTGTGTGTGTGTGTGTGTGTATCTAAATCTTAAGCATGTACAGCATTGAAAAACAAAGATCTCATCGTTTCAGATGACATATAATCTCTCAATATAATGCACATATTTGTATTTTATAAATGTACCTGGACAGCAAGAGAAGGTATGAAGACTTTACTGTCCAGATGTAAGAAGAAACTCTTGAAACACTGAATCTAAGTTTCTAAACTAAGTTGTGACTCCAGGTGGGGCAGGTAACGGAATGTGAGAGCTATAAAAATTAGCAACAAAGTTTCTGAATGTGCCTGGTGTTGGTGGCTCAAGCCTTTAATCCCAGCACTTGGGAGGCAGAGGCAGGAGGATCTCTGTGAGTTCGAAGCCAGCCTGGTCTCCAGAGAGAGTGCCAGGATAGACTCCAAAACTACACAGAGAAACCTGGTCTCGAAAAACCAAAAAAAAAAAAAAGTTTCTGAATGTGCAACAATCACATGTTAATTAGAAATAAAACAGTAACAAAGCGAATGTGTTTCTGGCAGCACTCAAGGGTGCTGCATCTCATGATGGCACTGCAGCACTGGACATAAGGACATGCACTTTGCATTGCACATGCCATGCATGCAAGGCCTTCCACAATGCTTGAAATGTTTCAATGCAGACTCCAGACTACACTACAAACAGCCGTGTTGCTACTGCTCACACAGTTTTCTGCTCTTACAGCATAATGGTTTAAATACAGAAAACAAAGACTTTTAAATATTTTCCTACTACCATTCCTGAGTATGAATCAAATTCATGTATCTTTGGAATGCACTTTGTTAAGAATGTTTGATTTTTAAATTACTATTTGTTTTGTTGATGATTTTTAAGGCTTGAGATTAGAGCAGAATTTCCAGTATTTTCTGAAGTTCTCTTAAGCTTACATTAGCCATTCTGTATCAGGTATTGATGTGAATGGCATGCTCAGCATTGATAATTATAAAATCAAACTTATAAAATCAAAATTATAAAATCAATCAACTCTGGAATATAGTCTTTGTCCTGCTGTATCAAATATTCAGAAAGAATTCATTTTTTGGAAAAACAAACAACTACATTCATTTCATTAGTATGCACATTTGCTTTCATCTTTAGTAAAAGAAAAAATTACAAGTACATCAAAGAACTGTTAAAAATGTATTCATGAGTATCAGGGCTTGGAATTGTATGTCTATTTTATATGCCTATAAGCCTAGGGTCACATAAATACTCCTGAGTGAAAAGGAGCTTGAGTGCGAGGAGCTTAAGATGCCATGGTTTAGACTTAGTTATACTAAAAAGAGTGTCCGCTAGTTCAATTACTACTTCACTATACTAACTCAGATGTTTTTAGTACAGTGAAGTGTGTCCTCTGTTTCATAGGTCCCAAAAGAGCACTCATCAGGCAGTATCTAAAATCACCAAAACATCTGCGTACAGAGTAATGTTGAACAAGTCCGTGCTGCATCCACACCATACTCACCACTTTCAGCCTCTACACCATCAAAGGCTACAAACCCTAAGGACATACAACGTTTTGGCCATTTATTATTTTAAAAGACAAAAAATTACCATATGGTACCAAAAACACATTTGCTTAAGACATTTTACTTATATTCTGTTTTGTCACAAAGTGATAACCTCAGTGTTTTGTATGTCTGTGTGTCCATAAGTGTATATGCATATGATGTGTACAGCTCAACAGAAATTTGTTCACTGTTAGAAAGAACTAGATTAAATACAAAGATTACAGATACATACTCAACACACTTCTTATACCAATACCATCTTACCATCTACAGTAAGAAGCAAAATAGTTTTCTTTTTAAAACCTGGTGGGTTTCGTTGTTTTGAGAATGGGCTTTGCTTTGAGAACGGGTTTCAGTCTACACAAGGCTGTCTAGGAACACTCTATATACCTATGCTGACCTAGAAGTCACTGTGCTTCTCTTGCCTCAGCCTCCTGAGTGCTGGGAGGCATGAGCCACCACACCTGGCAAACTGGAGTTCTGAAAGTTCAATAACAACCTAACTTTCTTCTCCAAAGCACATGCAACCAATCCAGAAATCTACAGCATTCTCCAGTGTGCCCACTACTCAGGAACAGATGGAAACAAACATAAGGGAATCCTGAGTCAATAAATAATTGAAGAAAGATACAAAAGGGGTTGGGATGGAGGGGCAGGGGAGGAGGGGAGGAGAGGGAAAGGGAACTTGGATTGACATGTAAAAGAAGCTTGTTTCTAATTGGTCTAATTACAATTATAAAAAATTAAAAATATTAAAAAAGAAAGATACATATTTTATCCTTTCTTGGGTAGAGAATAGCAATACATTTTATGCAAAAACTTCTACAAATAAACAAGTATCAGTATTTGAGCACATAATTACTATACATGATAAGCTCTGCTCATTGTTAAGGGAACGGGGCACATTGTGTCCTCCCAGAATATCAGTGGGAAAAAAACTTCCATGTTTTCAGGTACCAAAAATGTTTATTCCAGTTCAATGAGTAGTATGAATAGAATAGAGAAGAGATTTTGG